TGGGAATTGTAGTTCACCAGTGCCATCAGTGAACCTGGGTGACTGTTTAAAATAAAACCCTCTGATTTCCTGAATATGCCCTACATTACCCCTTCCCAGACGTTTCTGCGGCATAGGTAGACAGGAGCCATCCCCTATTCCTTCTTTTCATGACTGCTTCATTCCCTAGTCATCCAAGTGAGTTATTCTTGCTACCTGTTACACTGAGGAGCATTTGAGCATTCGACCAGGACTTTAGCGGGACTGTTTTACCGCTGCCCTGCTCTGTGTGCAGTGCTGATTCTTGCCTCTCTGCCAGGCTGCTCTCCCGATGCCTTCTGCGATCACACTGTCTCTTTCGGTTGCTGAAAGCCCCTGTACAGTGTTTGTCTGTGCCCACGTACGTGTGGCTCACGCTGGCCTCCCATGAGCTCCCACTTGGATGTTGCTAAATGCATCACCCCTCCTCTGTCAGCACGTGGACAACTCCAGTCTCATGCGATGTCCTAGGCCCTTCGCCCTTCCTTGAGGTGCTTTTTGGCGCCCTGCATGAGCGTGCTGGAGATCATCCGGTATCATAAGGACCAAGCACTGCTGAGACTTGATTCTATTTTCATCTTTCCCTTGGCCACTGTTGCCCCATTCAATCCTAACTGCTGCTTCCTGTCCTTAGTTTAACCAACAATTAACTGAATTATCATTCCTCATTCTTCTCAAATGAAAATGAAATACTTTACGTCTAGTGCAATTCTTGTCTAAAAATGCTCCATATCTTATCAAAGGAAGCTCTGGACAATTCTAACTTATGTTTTGTTCTGTTTCCTCTGCTGTTTTAGATTTTTCAACTGGTCTTTTTTTCAAAACACATTCTAGATAGAGCTTTGTCATTTGAGGTTGCCCCATGTCCTGTTAAACATGTGTTCTTTTCTAGCATTTTAACAGCTTTGCTCGAAAATGACTAGATCTTACCCTCATTAACACTTCTTTTTTTAGCTACTTCAGATTCAGCCTCCTTTAGTGTCACAGCAAAGATTAGCAGTATGAGGTCTGTTCTCAGCCCTTCTGAAAAATGCTTGGTTTTCCTAACTAATACATGTGACTTTCTAGATTGGATAAGCTTTTGCTTAACACTTCTAAAACGGCAGCATCTATAGAGAACATTAAGTTTTCTTTTAATGACACTATATAATGAATGTATTTGGTTAAATTGTCAGGACTTTGGTCTGGCTGAAGAGTTTGCTACCAAAGCATTGGATCTGAAACCAAAATCTTATGAAGCCTATTATGCTAGAGCAAGAGCCAAGAGGAACAGCAGGTACTGTTTGTTTCTGTGCATTTCTACACAAGTTTTTTACCTCGTAACACCGATGATAATGCTTTCCTTTTCCTTAAGATAATCAGAGTCTATACCTGAAAGTTATAAAGAAAAGGTGGTTTTCCCTGTGCAGCTACCATCTGTGTTAGGTCCCCATATGAGTCAAAACCAACTAGGCATAAACCAAAAGCCATATGGAGTACTCTGTTAGGTAATTATTAGGGATCCAGAAAGTGACAAGTTGATATGTTAGTGTATAGAGGAATATGTTACATGTAAGAGTGAATAAGAGCCACTAGTGCCTAGGGAGAACTCCCTATGGATTCACCACATCTTTTTTGAGTGGAAGAAGCGATCATAGGTTGGATTTCAGCAAGGTGCCTGTTGTGAAGATAATAGTAAAGGGCTCCTGAGATGAGGCTTACGCCTGCAGCCCACCCAGGCTGGCTTCTGGGAGAGTCTCTTAGGACACACAGGCAAGTTCCAGGACCAGTTCTGTGCTTCCACTGTAGAAAAGAGCTTCCTGGGTTGGAGGACATCTGACTTGTTTCTTGTCACAACATTTTCAGGAAGGGAAAGATGGAGAACACTGTCTTGAGTGTAGCAGAAATGGATCTGCAGCAGGTAATACTGACTCAATTCACCCTGAGTTTTTATTGATAACTTTTTTGTTTTAACAGAAAGCTCCATGCAGCCCTCACTGACCTACGTGAAGCCACAAAGCTGTGTCCTACCAACCAAGAGATAAAGCGTCTCCTGGCTCGAGTGGAGGAGGAGTGCAAGCAGCTCCAGAGAGCGCAGCAGCAGAGGCACCAGTCTCCGCAGCCTGGACAGCGGAGTAACAGCTCCGAAAATGAGGATGAGGGCGTTATGCAAGGTGTGAATAGTAATTTTAATCTTCAAGAGAGAACAGAAGAACTGCCACACTGTGGTGAATCTGTTTCCTCTCCACAAAGACTGGAACGTCCTTCTGCAGCCAC